CTCTAATCTACCATACTCATCATGCATGAGCTGCTATGTTATAACCTTCATACAGGAGAAAAGCATTCTGTCTTCACATAAAACATAAAACATAAAACATTCTTTGAATGTTTATCTGGAAACATAGATGAACATAATACCTGGTCAAAATAGCAGACAAATGATCATTCTAGTGAAAGAAACCAAGAACCTGGCCACCTACATTCTTTTTAATCGCCTCTTCATGATCCAAAATACCATCAGGAGTTGTAATCACAACATAACCCCACTGCACGCACAGAGAAAGAACTGCATAATTATCCTTTTCCTTTTGTTCTTGAAACACAAATTATAACAACTAGCATTCCTATAACATGAACACGGAACATTAAGCATTAACCAACCTGATGCGTTGGAAGAGTCTTTAATCTGTAGGCTTCAATATCCCTTGCCTTGAGGTCTTTTCGGAAAGTAAGGGCCTTGCAATCATTAATCCTACCTTGCAGTTCAACCGTGATCCTCCCCACTCTATGCGGATCATAGACTTGAAAGTCCCTGATATAACCTATCAGAAGCATATGCCAAATTACTTACACCAACAGTAGCATTGTAGTAGTAATAGTGATTATCACAAGTTCACAATGACAGAATTTTAGTTAGGTTTATGGCCTTTCATTTCCATCCAACTAGGCAAGCAGATATTTCACATACAGAAAGCCATACATACTCAGAAGTCAGAACATACTCCCCAAATGGAAAATAACAATAACAGTAATCATGGACTTGTATGAATAAATATCTACATAAACATTTATAAGAGAAACAATGGGAGCAAACAGTAATGGAAGAAGTCCTCCAAAGTCCAAAGACAAAAATCCAGCAGAGAGAGAAAATCACAGAAGAAACATTTTGCTAGTTAATTAAAAAGGGGATTCATATGATTTCAGTGATGCCCAGATTTGAAATTACCATGGTGTTTCATGATGCGGAGAAAGGAAGACATGAGAGTGGAGATTGGCTTGAGATCCACCGTAGCTTTCCCTCTCCTCTCAGCATTCAC